AAAAAAAAAAGAAGATAGCAAAAAAAAAAAAAAAATGGGTTGTCTTACTGTGTTGCTGAGGGTCTGGATTTTACTGATTGCATTCCCGTGGTATTAATGTGTGTTAATGCCCTATTCCCTGCATTTCCTAAAAATCTCTATCTGATTCAGCTTGGTGTGTTTGGCAAACATATTCCAGAGGTAGTGGTGTGTACTTCTATCAGTAAGTACATAAAATCTGTTTGCCTTTTTTGTGTGTAATAGTAGCGACCATTGGTAATCAATAGCTAGATGAGTCAACAGAGTTGCAAAATGGTGATCTTTTAATCCTATTATTCCTTCTAATTTATTATCTGGTCCACAAAGAGAAACTTTCCCTCATCAATGATTTAGGTACCATAAAATAGAGGTCATACGAGAAATATCTGATTTTTTAACTTCACCAATTTTCAAAGCAATAAGCGGATATCCCAGTATCCTCTAAAAAGGACCAATGAGTTTTTCACCTTTATTTCTGAGTATCATTATGAATAATTTTAAATATATATTGATATGTTTCAATGCATTATAGTTATTAGCCTTACTGATACTTAAATTGTCCCAAATGAATGAACTTCAAGGGTGGAGTACAAGGGTCAAGGGTCATTAGATAATTGGAATGAACAATGAGAAAGAGTGGCCAAGGAACGTCCCTGTCAATGTCAACCAAATTGAGGAACTAAGAGCTCCTCCCTAGCACTTACTCACACAAGTAGAGTTATCTATGTTTGAAAGAATTAGTTTAATACTTTAACTTCTTTTTTAAAATTAGAGTGGTTGAGATATAATTTACACATAGCGATTTCATCCTTTTAGGTAAACTGTTCTACAATTTTTGACAAATGCCTTCAGTCATGTAACCATCACCATGACCAAGATATAGAACATTTATGACATCTCAGAAAGTTCCTTCATGGCCCTTTGTGGCCAACCCACTCACCCCACCATAAGCTCCTGGCCAACTACTGTTTTCTGTTTTTCAGAATATCAAATAAATTGAAACCAAAAGTATGAAGCCTTAACAGTTTAGCTTTTTAAAACTCCTAGCGTGAGTATGAGATTCATTCATGCTGCTGAATGGATTTAAAGATTGTTTCTTTTTATTGCAGACTTGTATTCCATTGTATGGACATACCACAGTTTATCCATTCACCAGCTGATGGACATTGGCACCATTCCCAGTTTTTGGCAGTTACAAATGAAGTGACTTTCATGTATACATTTTTGTATGGACATATGTCCTAATTTTTTGGGTAAGTATCTAGCAGTATGATTGCTGCTCATAGGTTTAATTTTAAAAGAAACTGCCAAACTCTTTTCCATAGTGGCTATACCATTTTGCATTTCCACCAGCAATATGAGAATTTCAATTGCTTCGTGTATTTGTCAGTATTTGATGACATAAGGTTTCTGTCTGGTTTAAGCCATTCTAATAGACACATCTCATAGTGGATTCAATTTGCACTTCCCTAACAACTAATGATGAATATTTTTTCATGGGCTTATTTGCCATCCATGTCTTTGGTGAAGGGTCTGTTCAAATATTTTGCCCTTCTATTATTTGGCTGTTTGTTTTCTTATTACTGAGTTGTGAGAGTTATTTGTATACTATGGACATTGGTCGTTTACCTTGCAAATATTTTTTTCCAGTCTGCAGCTTGTCTTTTCATTTCCTTAACAATGTTTTTCAGGGGTGCCGGGTGGCTCAGTCTGTTAAGCATCTGCCTTCAGCTCAGGTCATGATCCCAGGGTACTGGGATCAAGCCCACTGTCGTTGGGCGCCCTGATCAACGGGAAGCCTGCTTCTCCCTCTCCCTTTGCCCCTCCACTCTTGAGCAGTGTCTGTCTCTCCCTCTCAAACAAATAAAATCTTAAGAAAAAAAAAATACTTTTCAAAGAACAAATGTTTTAAATTTTGCTGAAGCTGAAATTATTTCTTATTGTTTTTATGATTTCTGCTTTTTGTGTCCTAAGAAATCATTGCCTTGAGGCACCTGGGTGGCTCAGTTGTTAAGAGTCTGCCTTCAGCTCAGGTCAGGGTCCCAGGGTTCTGGGATTGAGCCCCACATGGGGCTCCCTGCTCATCGGAGAGCCTGCTTCTCCCTCTCCCCCTGCTTGTGCTCTCTCTTGCGTGCTCTAATGTATTAATAAAATCTTTAAAAACAAAAAAATCATTGCCTATCTCCAAGTCACAAAGATTTTCCTCCAGAAGTTTTTACAGTTTTAGGTTTTATATCTAAGTCTATGATCAATTTCATGTTTATTTTTACATATCGTATGAAAGATGGGTTATGGTTCATTTTCTTGCATGTGCTTACCTAACTGTTGCAGCACCAATTGCTGGAAAAACTCCACTGACTTGCCTGGCACCATTGTCAAAAAAAAATCAAGTGTCTACATATGTGTGGGCCTAATTCTGGACATTTTCTTCTATTGATCTACTCATTTCTTCTTTTGCTAACACTACACTGTCTTGATTACTGTAACTTTAGAAAATAAGTCTTGGAATCAGATACAGTAAGTCCTCAAACTTTGTGATTCTTTTTCAAAGTTATTCTGGGTTTTCTAGTTCCTTTATTTTTCCACATAAATTTCAGAATCTACATGTCAACATCTATAAAAGGTCTTCTGCAATTGATTGAGACTTGAATTTAGAAATCATTTGGAGATAACAGACATCTAAATATTGAGTCTTTTTTTTTTTTTAAGATTTTATTTATTTATTTAAGAGAGAGAGAATGAGAGATAGAGAGCACGAGAGGGAAGAGGGTCAGAGGGAGAAGCAGACTCCCCACCGAGCAGGGAGCCCGATGCGGGACTCGATCCCAGGACTCCAGGATCATGACCTGAGCCGAAGGCAGTCGCTTAACCAACTGAGCCACCCAGGCGCCCCTAAATATTGAGTCTTAAAGTCCATGAACACAGATATTTCTCCATTTATTTGTTTTCTTGATTTCTCTATGTTCTGTAGTTTTTAGCATATAAATCTTGTATTTTGTTATATTTATCCCAAAGTATTTCATGTTTTTTTGTAAAAGCTTAGCAATGTTAGTACTACATTGCCTTTATTGTTGTTGTATTTTAGAAAAATACAGTAATTACTAATAAAGTTAAAGATTTATTGTGTCTAGCGTTTCAGTACAACTATAAGAAAGGAGTCACTTAGAAATTACTATAACCTCCACTCAAAAAAGTGTAGTTTCTCTTCTAATATGGCTTCTCCTAATCTATTCTTCACTGTACAGTTCTGGTTAATGTCAATTTGGTAGAAAAAAATCACCTTTCCATAGTAACTGGAATATCTATAAAATGCCTTCTCCTTTAAAAATGTTTTGGCTTAGGTGAAACAGCGAGAGAAGAGAGTGTTCTCTTTGATTTGCTTATATTGTATTAATTATAGAATTGGTCTCAGTAACTGTACAGCTATCCTATTTTTTATTAACCGTTTTCCATCCTAAATTATCAATAAATATGCATAAAGTCTTCAACATATCCAATAAGTTACCAAGTGTAATTATCTGTCTACCTAACTAGTCCTTATTTTAACTTGTTAACAATCTTCTGAAGTACTGGTGTTGGGCCTTTGATAAAGGCAGGTAAAGAAACTGACGCTCAGAGAGATTCAATAAAATTTTCGAGATGACAGAGCAAGCTTGCGGCAAAACGAAATTCAACTGCAGGTCTCACTCCAAGGGTGTGCTCTCTCACCCGGTGAGGTTGCTATGGACGCACCAGAGGAATAGCCATGGGTTCCCAAAGGGCAACCCCACAGCTAACAGTGGGACCAGGCTTAAAATGTAAATCTCTAAGTCAGGAATCACATCCGCTTGAATCGGCACTTCTAGCAAAGTTAGGTACAATTTAAGACCCTTTAAGATACCCAAAATATACACATTAACTCAAACACTTAGATTACATTCTGGGCTCCCTGGTAAGCAAAATCAAAGTTAAGAAACAGCCTATTTTACTTTCCCATATTTCCCTATCAACACGTCTTTATCCCATTTTTTCCCTCCAATACAGATGCTATCCAGGAAGTAGGTAGCAGTTTAGAAAATGAGATTCAATTTAGGAGAAAGCAAGAAGCATGATCACAAGTTTATATTAATCTGATAGGAATACATTAATTCTGAAGGAAGCTATTAGAAAGGATCCAAAAGCTCTGTACTTACTCTGAGTAGTACCGAGCACATTGAGAGGCTTAGGAAGTGCTTTTGAGACTGACCTTAAAAAAAAAAAATGCTGCAACTGAAAAAGGCTTTTAATATTAATTTTTTCCAAAATTATCTGGCAGCACACAGCTAAAATACAACCGCAAATTTATCATTCGCCAGCAGTAATTCAAAGTTCTAGCTAAAGCAGCTGTAGCACCAGCTATTTTTTTAGAATTATTTACCTGCAACATTCCAAATGCAAGATTCCTTTTTCTCCTGTAGTAATTATGGTACAACAAATCTTGAGAGCAGTGCAAAAAGCAAAGCCTTGTTCTTTTAAATGGCCTTAGGCATCTGCCATGTTGAGAGGTCTACAAAATTCTGAACTCAGGGCAGATTTATTTATCTCAGAGCCCTGGGGCATGCTTATAAATTAAGTTTTATAAATCTTTAAATTATAAATAGAAGCAGCAGCAACATTAATTGAACCCAGGAAAAATCAGCTCCCAAAAAACTGAAGACCTTCAAGAAACTAAGACCTTGAGGGCGGCCACGCTGCCCATAACCTGGCTTTGGGATAGGCAAGGCGTTCTCCAAGGAACATGGTCTCCCTGTGGATGGCTGACATATTTGGGAATGTTGGCAGGGCAGTTCAAATAATCTATATTGACACAAAGGGAAAGACTAACTCTCTAAGGTAACCAAGACCCAAACCAGATAGAATTTATCTCAGATAAGCAAAAATGCTTGAATAATTCATTATTTGTTATATCCATCGCCCCTCAGAAATTCTAAACTAAGAATAAAAAGTCTGGCAAACTGAAATGCCACGTGAGGCTTCAGGATGACTGGTGAAGAGCTGAACGTCCCCATTAGATTAAGGCTTGAAGCAGGAGACGTTTTGACGAAGGCCTGATATACAGGTCTATGGTTGGGCCTTGCATATGACATATGGACCAAGGCTTTTATGATATATAGAGACAGAGAATTGTTAAAAGATATAAAATGACTCCTAAAATTCTAACAGCAAAAATAAATTCACAAAAACCAACCTAATCAAAATCCCAAAGCAGAAAAAAAAACAGAAAATCACCTGAGTATTACTATTGTTATGATTCTAGAAGGTTATATAAACAGAAATGTTGTAAGAAGATATTAATTAATACATCCAACAAATATTTCTTTATTGACATCCCGCAACTGTGTCACAAGGCTTACATGAAAGATCAGGCAACTGACAATGAGAGCCTGCAAACAATTTGCTCGATTATACTATTTATCACTGTCAAAGCCAGGACTCAAATTCAAGATTCCTATCTTCTTGAAAGACTACAGCTTTGTTTACATAACGCTTTCAAGAGAAAAGAGTGATAACAACAATCTGCCTGACTCCTGAAGACAGACTCAGAGCAATTTAATTTTGATGCTAGGGCTACAATGCTTTCCCAACTGCTTTATCCATACTGCCTTCCACTTTAGGCATTCCCCAAAGGATGGGACTATTATTTCGCTGTTCTAGTTACTTATATTAGCAAGATAATGAAGCCAAGGCTAGCCGTTCAGTTTTCACAAGGGACTTGCTATTTGTCATCATGTATTTTTAAAGCAAAAAAATGATCAATGCAAATCTGACTTCACTAGAGAATCTTACAAAATAAAGGCACAAAGATAGTTCGGATCGGGGATGCTATCTTCAGAACTGACAGAAGGACATCAGTATTCATCTCTACACCTGACCTGGGCACTTGATACCAGAGCAGCAGGGTCTCAGAACCCAACAGGAAAACTCCCAATGAACTGAAAGGTTGTACTTTGATCTGGGTCCTCCTCTTAAAGGTCTGAAGTTCCATGCTATCCAAACCAAAAACAAAAAATTCTTATCACCCACACGTGAACTGTCCATTCCCAGGCTCACTCACCCACAAATGCCACTACCCCACATTGACAACCTACTGGACTTTGTTTCCACTTTCGGCAAAGAGGGTAGGACTCAAACTACTGGTCTGTCCCAGTGGGATAAATCCAATGGGAATTTTACTGAAGGAAGCCTAAGGGGAAAAAAGAAGAGGAAAGTTTTTACGGTTATGGTCAGAGAATCAGACTGAACAGAGAGACACAGACGTGTCCACTATGACAAAGTAACTGACCCTCAGTGCACCACCCCATCTCTCCCTGCCCTAGACCAGCAATCAGATAACGCTAAGTGAGCGGTTTCTAGAATGAGGCAGGCCTCGGAAACAAGAGGACTCTGTGAATTTGGAAGAAATATGTGGGTACTCATTAACAGCAACTTGTTGAAAGAAATTGGGTTACAAGAAGGAGGGTCTTAAAGATATTAGATAAACGTGCTATTGTGACAGAGACTGCATTTTGTTGTCACACTATTCGAAAAAGTTGTGGATAAACCAGAAATATCTAACATTTGTACAGTAACTATTGACAGTGTTTTATAAACGATCTCGAGTGTAAAGAAGGCAAAGAGAACAAGTTCAGGCAGCAGTCGTTCCTCCCTCTCCCCCTCCCTTCCCCAGAGGAAACCACTAACCTGCCAATGCTGTGATACCTTTCGTGCCACATTATTATTCTTTTACGACATATTTACACATCCATTAATAGTATGCAGTGTTGCTTTCTGAATTGCACAACATACTTTGGCAACCTGCCTTTTATATTCAGTATTTTTTAGACTTAATCATGTTTATAGATATTTATATATCTATATGTCTATAAATCTATAAATATTTATAGATATTTATAGATCTAACTCATTCATTCTTACTGCTACATGGCTTCCAGTATATGATTATACAATCATTTATTTATGAAGGAATTCTGTGAAGAGAAGGTTCCATGGGAAAAATTTATATTTCAAACAAGAGCTTTTCTGGTAAAAGCTCTCAGGCGCTCTGGAACGCTAAAACAGCGGAGCCCACCACAGATTAATCAAAGTGTTCTAGGACACAGGCGGTAGTACTTTATTTGCTAAGACCCAAAGCAGCACAATTTGTGCCCACCTTCAATTATAAAATGGCGGAAAAAGGTAAAAGGAGATAAAAAGCACGGAAATGTAAAAGCTAAAACGCAATCACTTTGAAAGCTCACCTCATCTGCTCTTCGAAGAACTCCAGTAATAACCTACAAACGTTAAAAAAAAACTATTATAAACAACGTGTAGGTTCCCTTATCAAACAAGAATTGGATTCAGTTTTCATGGATCACAAACTTGTGTCTGTTCTCTTCTTAGAGACTATGTCAAAAGAGGTACTGGCTCTTCGAACATACAGTGTTCTGCAGGGGGTTCAGAGCAAAATTAGATTTGATTCTTGACCTAAGATCAATAGTCCAATAAAGGCTAAGGTGAAATAATTACAAAACCTCCACATTATATTAGCAAAATTGTTCTGCATTCTCTAAACTGGATACAAATGTGAGCCACACAGCAATCATACAGAGGAGCCTGGGGTCTACTACACATACACACACAGGAACAAAAGTCACACTTTGCTACATGCAGAGGAGTCTGTGCTCAAAGATTTATGAAGACAAGGGGAACTGTAGCTCCTCTTTTAAAAGATATTTTTTAATTTCAATTTGTATGTGATGTTTTTTATTTTTAAAATATGATATCCATGCCTTATATTAGTGGTGAAAAATACCTGAAGAAGGAAATGCTTTCTCATCATCCCATCATGCTGGATAACCATCATGAATCAGTTGCTTACGTTTTGGCGTATTTCCCCCCAATCCTTTTTTTATTCACCGCATATTTGTACATGACTGAGATTATACCAAATACACGATTTGGTCTATTTCTTAAAAACATTTTGTAAAGTAAGGACGGATGCCAGTCTTCTCCCTTCACCTCCTGCCTCAGTGAATTTCAGGATTACATGGGGCCGTCATGAGGTCTACTTCATTCTTTGTTGGCATGCTATCAGTATTCTTCACACTTCATTAAAAAGCCAGAAAAACAATTCCAGGATCATTAGCACAGCCTTTCTAAAAGCAGCTTACTAAGGCTCACATAACTGCTAAGTCAAACATAGGACACTGCTCTGTCTGCTGTTAGCTCCGGATCCCTCGATACTGAAGAAACCACCAAATGGAGGCAAAAGGCCATCAGAAATGAGGCCCAGCTGTGAATTATGGCCCACAGGATGGAAGGACTGAGCAGTAGGAGGGGCCCCTGCACGGGGCTCTTCAGGGGCTTCTAATACGTAATCAAGGTTCCAGTCTGTTGCCCTCAAAAGGAAGAGCACTTCTAGGGCAATGTACTTACTGTCCTTACTGGACCAGAGTAAGCATTAGGGACATGAAATTTTAAAACAAAGGCAGATACATACACCTGAACTTGTAGATCCCTGCCTCTAACTGTACTACTAGGAGAGAACATTCCATGCAATGGAAATGATGTGAGAACAGAAGCATTTTTTCAAAAGGGGATCTAGGTTTATTTTATTTATTTTATAAGAACCATCCCTCATAATTAAAACTGATTCCCTAACTCCCTAACACACAGGGCTACTCCATCAGTTTCCAAAACATAAAAGGCTTATCAAACCCACCACCATTTCTTCTTATTTATTCAATTTTATCCTACTTAAATTTGACAAAACAAAAATCCTATATGCTGGGTATAAAGTTTATACAAAACAACAGAATAAAAGTGCATGACAGAAATGTAATGCTACACCTGTTTCAGGGAGTAGGAATCCTAAAAAAATAAATTACAAAGAATTTCCTTAAATTATAACTACTTTATGCCATTGCTCTAAGATTCTAATTTCCATTTTATTCACTTTCAAAATGGTTTTGAAAAGAAAAACAGCCATACCTCCTGCAATGTACCATCTCCTCCTGCAACGATGATCACATCTGTGTTTTCCATCAGTTCCAGGAGTTTCTTGGCTTGGCCCTCATAATCGGTCTGAAATACAAAAGAAGTCTTTCGTAAATTTCCCATCCTAGGGCCATAAAAGTCAAAGATTTAAAAATATGGGACATTTTCTTTAAAGTTTGACACAGAGTCTTTCCTCAAATTCTACATAATTGATAGACACGAAAAATTCAATAGCTATCAAAGCAATCCTGTATATAGTTTTGCACTGGTTAGAGTTGGAAGGGACCTCAGAAACCATCTTTAACCTTCCCTTAAAAATAAAACCCAAGCCCAGTGATCTGTCTCAAGTTATACAGTTAGCTAGTCAAAGGATTCATTTCCAGGCCAGTGCAGAATCTATTATACCATTTACCCAGCACCTTTCACCTGAAAGCAGGAAGTCAAGTGTATATGCAAATAGAGAGCCACCGATGTAATGAAAAGAGTACAGATTTGGGAGCCCAAGAGACCCAGATTAAACCCCAACTCTGCTACTTTTCAGCTGAGTGGCCTTAAACTCTAAGGACCTTAACTGCCTTACCAATGAAATTATGTGTGTTGGGGTTGGGGTAATAATAGCTTCCCCATGGTACTGTTGTAAAGCAGTATATAAAGCAACTAGCAAGTAACTGTTCATGACCGGTACTGTACTTAAATGAAAGGCTGGGTTTTGCTATGATTATACAACAAAGTACAGGTGTGACTCAGAGTAGTGACAAAACAGTACGAAACCTCGCCATTTTTATTGAGAATATTTCCTCTCAGATATGTATGCAGGCTTCAATGAATCATCTAAGCCACTGCCTCTAAAACCAAACATTAAATTCTAGAATGCATAATGCAGCTAACACTAACATGGGAAATATCCTCTCTCCTACTGACAAGGTACTAGACACACTAATAGACAAAAATTAAAAATGTGAATTTCAGATGGGCTAGAGCACCTGAGCACAGATAACAGAGGAAAAAGGAAGTCCCTAAACTAACACCATGAATTTTATGAGGAATTATTCCATTTTTATTCTAAAAATGAAACGGCTGGCTTTATAGTTACACATTTGCAAATAGTAAATTTTTTTAAAAGAATATATGCCAGTCCTTATTAAAAGAATGGTTTGTGAGTACCCTGAAATAAGCGATCACTGGGTATCAGTATGGGTTTGCTAAGAACAAGGCATTTCAGACTATCCTCAACTTCTTTGGCATTAACTACATCAGTAGATAAAGGAAACCAGACAGACATTGTATCTGCCCTTTAGCAAGGCACCTGGTAAGCTATTTGATGACATCCATGGGGACAAGATGGAGAAATGTGGAAATAATATGCTAGAATACAAGTAGGTTAGTTAATTACCAACTGAAGGTCTGTGCTCCAAGTGAGAAGCTCAGTGGAGTGACATCAAATTGCAGGTAGATTCCTAGTGACATTACTTTAGGGCTTTCCCTTGAGCTTTTTTTTTTTTTTTTAAAGTAGGCTCCACAGTGGAACCCAACTCGGGGCTTGAACTCACAACTCTGAGATCAAGACCTGAGCTGAAAGCGAGCACCAGATGCTTAACGGACTGAGCCACCCAGGTGCCTCGAGCCTTTTTCTATACAGTGCTATCAACAACAGAGGTGAAAGGCAACTTACTGAATATTCAAATGACAATCTTTTACAAAACAGACACTGGCCTCCTTACTCCTCAAACATGCCGAGTATACTCCTGCTTCAAAGTCCTGATCATGCAGTGCAATATCCTTAGCCCTGATTCTTTCCCTTCCACATCTGCAAAACTCATTCATTTGCCTCAGGTCTCTGCTGAATAGTCATCTCCTCAAACGGGTCTTCCTTCACCTTCTGAACTAAACTAACACCCCATTACTCCTGGTCCCCTTACTCAGCTCGACTTTCTTCATGGCACTCATCACCATCTGACAAACCATGTTTATGTAACTGTTTCTTTATCTGCATCTCTCCCTTTCCCACTTCGAATAGAAGCTCTTTGGGGACAGACATGGAAAGTTTATTTTGTTCAGACTGTATCCCCAATACCTAGAACAGGGTTTAGCTCACAGGAAGGAGTCAATAAATACCAGCAAAAAAATATTAATAAATATAAGTACACAAATGAAAGAACCAAAATTCAAAAATATTTCAACAGATTTAATAGGCCATAATTTAAAAGACAACATTTATAGAGATAACCTACTTGAGGCTCTGGTGTTAAGAAGAAAATTCCAAATGCAGCAACAAAGCAAGGATTAAAAAAAAAAAAGTGGCCTAATGATATTAAAGAAAGAAAAGTGAATCAAGACAATAGGTAGCATAACATGATACTAGAGAATTGTTACTTTTGCTGGGTATGATAATGACACTGAAGTTACGTAGAAAAGTAGCCTTATTATTACTATTTTTTTAAGTGCACACTGAAGTATCAAGGGGTAAAATGACATGATGTCTATCATTTACTTCAGAGAACCCAGCTACCATGTGAAGACGCCTGATGGTGGCCACACGAGCCAGACAACAGCCAGCCCGACCTACCGATGTGCGAGGCAGGACTTCCCTGCTCAGCTATGCCATGGAGGGGACCAGGTGTGACCAGCACAAGGGCAGCTCTGAACAGACTGCTAACCAACAGAATCGGAAGCAAAGAACCAGTTGTCAAGGTAGTTTGTTATGTAGCAGTAGATAACTCGTATAGAAATAAATGTAGCAATAATTACAATAAAATGTTAATGGACTCAGTGACCCAGGAAAAAGACCAAAAAGAGATTGGTTCTTTTAAATACTGTCTTCATGCCTTACCAATAAAGCCTTTAAAATATAAAGATACAAAAAGGCTGAGAATAAAGGGATAAAAATATTACACCAAGCAAAACCCAACCAAAGTAATAGTAGAGTCCCTAGGAACACTAGATAAGACAGACTGGGGCCGAGGCAGTACTGGTGCTGAAGAGAATCGCTCTAGGACAGGGTCAAAACATGAGAAAAATGAAGCCATTTGAAACCTGAGAGCATCTACTGACATCATCTCAAGATATAAAAAGCAAAAATGAACTACAAAGGGAAATAGAAAAATCCCCAATAACAGTGGGAGATTTCCAAAAGCCCCTCTCAATATAGTTAAAGCAGAAGAAAAAAATCAGTAAGGACACAGAAGACTAGAACCACACAATGAACAGACTTGACTTACTTGGACGTGTGCAGAACTGGTACCCGATAATGAAAACAAAACACACACTAGGCTATTAGTGGACCATAACGCAATTAAGTAAGAAATCAATAACAAAAAGATAACTAGAAAAACTTTATATTCGGAAATTTAAAAACATGTCTAAATAACTCATAGGTCAAACAAAAATTATGATGGGAATTAGAAAATATTTTTAAATGAATGATCGTGAAAATATTATATATCAACACTTAGAAGATGCAGTTGGAGCAATAGAGGGAAATTTATAGCTTTCAATACATAGGATAAGGGTAAAAAAATAAGCATCCAAGTTAAAATGTGAGAACAGAACAGCAGAAAAAAAATCCAAAGTAAGTAGAATGAAGGAAATAGTAAAAACAGACTAGAAATTCATGAAACGAACATAAACGAGGATCAACAAGCCAAAAAATGATTCTTGACAAGGATTAACTGACATACCTCTTACAAGACTATTGAGAGAAAAATAAGAGGGCACAAATAAAATGAAGAATTAAAACAAGATATTACAAATGTTACAGAAACTTACAAGTTAAAAATTGGAAATTATTAACTTGATACCAATTAATTTGAAACCTAGATGGAAGCAGCAAATTCCTTGAAGATGTTGCACCAAAATTAATTCGAGAATAGAACTTGACTACTTCTAGAACCATTAAAGACATTTAATATACAAAACATTTTCCCCTCAAAGACAGCTCCAGGTCCAGATGGTCTGATCGGAGTTCACTCGAACATTCAAGGAAGATCTCTTACGTAAGTATTCTGGGCTCTCTCACACGTAGAGTTTAATGTGCATTACAAACACTCACATCAATGTCAGTTCTCTTCCCCTTTCTCCCATCCCTGGAGACAGACACCTGGAAGACCACACTGCAGACCAGGTGGACAAAAGAGTTCAACGTTTCATGGTAAGCTGGACTAAATTACTTTTTCATCTCTGATTTCATGAAAGTGTGTAATATTAAAAATACACCACAGACTTACGAACGTGACAACAGAGTGATTTTCACCAAATGCACACACCTGAGTGCACACCACATACTTATCACTTAAAAGTCAACAAGGTGGAGTATTAGGGCATCTTCTATCTAGCACAATTCCTTCTAACTTATTTTTGTCCCTTTTTCTTAGCTAAATATTACAAATTCTAAAGCTTTACCATTGAAAAGTCCTCACCAGAGAGAAAATGTTTACCTGTCTGTGGAGCTACCAAGAAATTAACTACTCAAAGTGGAAATATTTTTATTTTTAGGAAAAGAATTCTTACAGCTATAACTACTTTTATCTTCCAAGAGACAATGATTCCACATCCCAGCTTTCACATGAAAGGAACCAAGTTCATGCCTCCATCTAATCTTATTCTGAAAATGAAAAGCTGACAATGCTTTGAAAAAAAAAAACAAAACCACTTTTATTAACGATCAGAACAAAGACACATTGATCTCTCTGCTCCCAGCTTCTTACGTGATAAGTGATTTCTGCTACAAAGTCAAGAGAAGAGGGTAAGTCACAAGGAGTGGTAGCTCGGATAAAATCAACACTCTGGAGTGTTCTTACCTTAACGACAGTCACATCCATGCCAGATAAGTGTAAAATCGGGGCAGCATTTTTTTCAAATAGAGTCCTTGCTTTGCTGTAAAGGAAAAAAACAAAAATTTTGACACGAGTTCTCAAGAGGAAGAAAAAATAGCCCAACCATCTTCACTAGAGTAGAACAAGAAACTGCCTGAGAAACACAGGTTTCCTGCTTTTGTGCAAGTGCAGGAAGTTGAACAATGAGTCATCGGGTTCTACGGATAGAAATGGAGATGCTAACACTCTGGCGCCTCCAGGAGTTTACTTTCTAATACAATCAGCTATCACCATTTGGGATGCTTGCAGTTCATTATTTAGTTCATCTAGAGGAAGAATGTAACACTACATATGGCCCCGCTCAGGACACAATGCTTGATTCATTCAGCAAGTATTTATTGAGCACCTACTACATGCTAGACACAGGGGGTAGGAGCTAGGGAGACAACAAGACAAAGCGGACAAAACACCTGCAACTTAAGTAGGATGTAATAAGTCCTCATAGAACTTATTTATATTCCAGGGGTAGAGGGAGGACAGTGTATTTAACATTTTTCATGTGGCCTGAAGGAATAAATGTATTAATTCTAACTCAGTGGATATACAGCCTTTGAGGGAGAAATACATCCTTTTTAACAATTTCATATACTAGAGGTATCTCCATTTCTTGAATTTTAAACCTGTCGTGAAATCCCTGGAGAAGGAGCAAAATTCTTTTCCATGATGGCAGAAATTCTGCTAAGAAAAGAAAAGTCTGAAATTATCTAACGCAACTTTAGGAAAATGGGCAGCTTGTCTGAAGCTCCCAGGCAGTCACACCCTTCTCTTTGTGGCCCCGTCACTTTGTATACACCCCTGTGAGGAATTTCCATACGGCAGGACAATCAGTGATTTGCAGGACAGTCTTTGGGATGAGACTGGAAGCCTTGCAAAAACAGACACCAAATATTATAATCCTAGAGCCCCCCCAGCCTCTAGGATTACGTCTGGCACACTCAGAAGATACTTAATAAGTATCTGATGAATTAATGCACTAATGCGTGAATAAATGAACCTGCCCCAAATGCAGACATGTAAATTCTGCGGGAAAGGAAACAGCAGGATTGTGAAGTCTTGTGAGAACAGAAACAGTTAAAGAGCCCTTTGAAGAGAGAGAGAGAGAGAGAGAGAGAGAGAGAGAGAGAGTGTGTGTGTGTGTGTGTGTGTGTTTTAAAAGCATCGTACACGGGCGCCTGGGTGGCTCAGTTGGTTAAGTGACTGGCTTCGGCTCAGGTCATGATCCTGGAGTCCCAGGATCGAGTCCCGCATCGGGCTCCCTGCTCAGTGGGGAGTCTGCTTCTCCCTCTGTCCCTCCCCCTTCTCGTGCTCTATCTCATTCTCGCTCTCAAATAAATAAAATCTTTAAAAAATAAAAATAAAATAAAATAAAAGCATCGTACACATCATTCTGACAGTGATTCTTGTCCAATTCTGGGCAGGAGTCAGAAACACAGCCCAGGAATCAAGGGATGCAAAAGTTGCAAGAAGTCCCCAATGGCATGGTCTCAAAGTTAAACATGCCTATCAGTGGACCTGTTTTTCACCCAAATATTTTCAACTATCTCATCAGGGAAAAAAAAGCAAACAAAAACTAGAACTTTTGAAACAACAGCGAACATATAACTTTCACATCCACATTTACTCAGTCCTCTTTCAAAGATTTTTTTTTTAAACCAGTGATGCATGCTTTGACTCTCTTAAGAGTATTTTATACTAGAATTCTAGAGATGCTAAGGTAGCTAATGAGGAGCATGTATAGTCATGCACAAACCAAATTCAACATTCTTTAAAAAGAAACCACCAAATGGCAGACAGAAGCATGTAACATTTCTTATGAATTAAAATAGAAATGGAGAAATTGGACAAATTGGACAAATTTTCACAAGGACCATTCAAAAAAAAGTATCTCAGACCAAGGGCCTACCTGAGCATGTTGTAAGCAAATTATACAAATATCCCCTGCCCTTTCTCCTGACCTGAATGCTTATTAGAATGAACGGGAAAGGCTAAATGAAAATTCCCTCTTTCCAGCTCACCACTTCTGGGGTTTAACCCAACAACAAAGGGCTAAGCTAGTGATACTACAAATGTTTCCCCTTCCAGGGTTGTTTTCATTACTGGATTGATAAGAAAAGATCAGCTGGAGGTAGATCAGCTCTATCTGAGAGGCAAAACTCTGGACAAGAGTCAATCAGCTGTATTAATCATTTTTAACAAATCTATAAGATCCTCCAAGTTAAAGAAATAATGATTTGAACATTTGGGTTTTTATTCACATCTTTATGTGATGCCACAGCTATGGAAAATCTCTAAAATTCTAATGTTCCATAAAAAAGATTGAAAAACAAGTGCTACCAGTAAGAAATGCATTATTTATTATACAATTAAAGGTGAGACAGCACCAGAGCTAAATAAAAACTTTATATACCTACTGCAATTTCCAGGTTCACGTACACACAAAAAAATTACTTCTTAATGTATTATTTATTAATGCTGTTTTAAACACAGTTATCTTACTTCTTAAAGTGCCTATGTAGTTTTAAAACCAGTACTACATAATGAAATAGCTACATGATGAATTATATATTACGTGTCAGAGTAGAGCCAAGGTGACAAAAATAGTGCAATTAAATAGTGAAAGCTTTAGAAAAAAAAAAAAGATGCTGGAGAGCTTCAGAGTGGCTGATACCCAGAAGCACGCGGGGATTCACCTTGCTAAAGGGGACAATAACTGTAGCAGACTTTCCCTAGCCTCACGTTTAAAGATAAAAATATTCTACTTTTAAACAATAATCCAACTTTAAAAATGTCAATACATTTACATGTAAAAATATAAACAGAACCTAAAACTGCTCTAAAAAAGTTTGTTTTTTAATGTAATTATCCCTTATAAGTAGGAACTTTTAAAAGTAACAGATTATAGCTTAAACAAACTGCCATATATTTTTCTGTATCAGACATAGCAAGTTCCTAACTAACTAGGTCTTTCTAAAGGAATAGGACCTAGAACAGTTATATTAAAGTAGGCAGAGGGAGAGCTACAAGCACTTTCGGGAAGGGTGGGGGAGCAAAGTAGAGACTGTTTTGAACCTAGCGTACTGGTCAATAATAATCACAGTGGCTTCTCTTCCCTTCGCCCAGTGCTTACCATGAAATGGAAACGCTGAGCACATCATAGGCATTATTTCACTTAATTGCAAAGGCACCTATTCTATATGGCAATTTTATAAGGTATGAGCTATTACTTTTCCCACTTTACAGATGAGTGCACTGAGGATTGAAGCTAAGTAACTCCCCTATCACAGAGCAGAAGAATATACAAGTCCCGTCCTTCAAACCCCGGAGCCCACACAGTTCTCCACTAGCTTCTGCCACAGGCCACCCCTGTTCAGTTATCTTAGAGATTTTGATTGTGTTGTGTGAGAACCTGTTCATTTGTTGGTATTGTTTAGTATTGGTATTGAACAAGAATGATCAATAGGCATTAAGACTGGTGTTAATGGGGGAGGGAGGCGGCTCTAACAAAGCCCATCCGGTAGGATTCAACTAGGCAGAGTCACAGAGCCAGTTTAGACAATCTGTAGGTAAATATCTTAAACTGCAGAATTCAAAATAAGGCGTGGTGTGCTTGGGTGGCTCAGTCAGTTAAGCGTCCGACTCTTGATTTCAGCTCAGGTCGTGATCTTGGAGTTGTGAGACGGAGCCCGGTACCAGGCTCCATGCTGCGCGTGGAGCCTGCTTAGGAATCTCGCTCCTTCCCTCCCTCTCCCCCTCTGCCTCTCCCTGCTTGAGCTCTCGCTCTATCCAAAAAAAAAAAAAAAAACAGGCATGATTTGTCCTTCTATCTGTAAAGCCACATTCACTATCTCAAATTACTAGAGAAACTTATTTCAGAACTCCTGCGTCTTACACAAGACTAGTTACAAGCTGGTCCCAACTAGTCTTTTTGTTGTTGTTGTTGTTAATATCTTGATGTCATCTAAGATCTTATAGAATCCAGCCTAACACATTTTTTTTTAAAGATTTTATTTATTTGACCGAGAGAGAGAGAGAGCGCGCACCCTAGCAGGGGGAGCGGCAGAGGGAGAGGGAGAAGCAGGCTCCCTGCTGAGCAAGGAGCCCAACACAGGGCTTGATCCTGAGGATCCTCTCAGGATTCTCAGAACCCTGAGCCGAAGGCAGACACTTAACCGACTGAGCCACCCAGGTGCCCCAGAATCCAACCTAATACATATTTATTAATTTTCCAATCCTCAAAACAGACAAAGAATTGTTTTGGTTGCTAGGGATAATAAAAGATATCACTCCCCACCCCACCCCACACAACTTATTCATTCTTACTATTTTTAAAACATAATTTTAAGTTTTAAATGATTTCTTCTAAAAACCTTCAACAAGGTCTTTTTTATTCACCTCTCGAACTGAATGAGAACTGCAACCATCATTGAAACAAATTTTTTTTGCTTATGGTACTTTTTTAAAAATTTAGACTTTATTTTTTAGAGCAGTTTTTAAGTTCAAAGTAAAAATGAGTGGAAAACAATTTCCATGGGCCCTTTGCCCCGTTACACACACAGCCTCCCCCGCTTTCAACATCCTGCACCAGGGTGGGACCTTTGTTACAATAAATGAACAGAAATACGTGATTATCAACCAAAGTCCCAACTATTCTTCACACCTGAATTCCCACAATTCCCTCACACAACTCTTCTAGGTCAGCTAGACCAGGTCACAGACTGGCCTGCAATACAGCAAGGGACATGACTAGTTACCCCTGTGGCTAGGCCCCTGCTGCCCCAAGCTATTTCCTCAGTCAGGAAGATTGAGTGTTCTCCCTCTGCTGACCTCCAAGACCTAGCTCAAGGTTCACTCCTTTTAGAAAGAATGTTTCTGATTTCACAAGCCCACAATGTTCTTGGCCATTGTGGAACATCCTGGAACAGAGAAGTCGTAATCATTTATATCACAACAGAGGAACTATCCCCAAGCAGGTAAGATTCACTTGAGAGTATTAATTCTGGGATTTTTTTTTTTTTAAGATTTATTTTAGGGGGGAGCAGAGGGAGAGGGCAAGAATCCTGAAGCCGACTCCCCACTAAGTGCAGAACCCAACAACAGGGCTCAACCCCAGCCCCCTGAGATCACGACCTGAGCCGAAACCAAGAGTTGGCTGCCCATCCGAGTGAGCCACCCAGGCGCCCCTAATTCTGGGATTTTTATTAAATTTCAATTAGACAAGTTTGCCAAGCATCAGTTAGCTTTACAGTTATAGCTCATTAACCGCTATTTCTCCATTACAAATTAATCTCATTGCTAGACGAGTAGGGAACCTACTTCTTCCAATTCTACACAGTCCAACTAGCTTCCTGATATTCTGTGATATTCCTCCCCCCACAGGAAAACTGAGTATGTGACAAATCACAAACTGAACTACCCTCTGCAAGCTGCAGGATTGAGAAAAACCGTCGCCTTCTTCACTTGTGCATTGGGAGGAATGAGTTGATTGCCAAACACCTAAAAAGGAAAAAAGGAAAATTTTAAGCAAATATCCTTTATTCAGTTAGCGATTATATATATTCTTTCATTCCAAAGGAATTTACTTCCAGGAGACATGGTACCTACTCTGGGGGTAAAAGTGTTCTTTCATGATTTCATATTGACAAAAAATACCATGAACAACAACCAAGTCTACCATTATTTAATGACAATCAGCTAAATTTTGTAATAAAAAAAAAAAACCCTGCTTCATCTACTAGAGGTAAGTAACTTTTCTAAGATGTGGCTAAGTTTATTATAAACACATACCCAGCAAGGCCACAGTCTATCAGAAGTAAAGTTTAATCCACCTGCCCATAGTCTTCAGAGTATAATCTTTTTCTCCTTCAATTTATTACTAAAGCTTATTCATAAAGAACTTTTGTGATACCAATTAATCTTCATATTTTCATACATGTAAAAAATAAACCTAATAGTCTATTTGCCTCCTCCTCTTTGCAACTTTGTATAACTTGATAACTAAATAGCATCAACTAGGGGATTAAGGAATGCACTTGTGATGAGCAATGGGGGTATATGTAAGTGATGAATCACTACATTCTACTCCTGAAACCCATTTTACCATATATGTTAACTAACTAGACTTTAAATAAAAACTTGAAATAACAATAATAATAATAAATAGCATCAACTGACAAGGAAAAGAAATATAATCTATATTTACTAACCACCTAGTATTTGCCACTGTCCTACACATTATTCTTAGCTCTCAGAAACTTAGGACGTATTAAATGTTCTCATTTTAATAGTTCAGAAAACCAAGATGCAGAAAGATTAAGTCAAAGTCCCACAGTTAATAAATTACAAGCCTAGAGTTTACATCTAACTCCAAAACCCCAACTTCTACTCTGTCGGCTCTGAACAGCAGATGGAGGAGGCAGAGTTCAGAGGCACACAGAACCAGATGTGGAGGAGGCAGAGTTCAGAGGCACACAGAACCAGATGTGCAGCCTCAAAATAAGAACTAACATGAGCTAATGCTATTCCACCTGGACTGAAGAAGACCACCAACAAAAATGAGGAAAACACCATAGTCAAAATGTTGAGTCTTTGTTGGTGGGGAGCAGGTCTGGGCCAAGGAGGCAGAATTCAGGTATGGAAGCACAAAGTAAAGACAGGAGAAAAATGAGTTACACCAAGATTTTTATTAAGTGACTCTCTTATTAAGTGACCACCACCTCCCTGACAGTCCACCAGGGAGCCGTTCTCTCCCTGGTCTATTTCTTGCTTTAAAACAAAACAAAAAATACACTTTTTCTGAATGCTTCAGAAAGAAATATTGTTTCCTGAATTCAACCTTAATATTCTGCTGCCAAATCTCCAAACATTGTAATGTGTTCTTTTTCTATCCATAGTTTTTCTGGAATGTGGCCAGAAATTACTCAGCCAGTTTCTCTGGCCTACCAGACTCCAGATCTATAGTTCCAGATTATTCTTTGTCTTAGTTTCTTACCTGCAACTCCAGGCGCAGGTTTACGGTGCGTTAAGGAGCTTATGTAAGACTACAGTGAGTTGAGATTATGTGAGATTAAAAAAATCACTCTTTCAAGAATTTAGACTGTAAAGGGAAGCCATAAACAGGAAAAGTAACTGGAGTAGGCTCTAAGGATGAATTCGCTTCCATTTGCCAGATGGAAGGAGCTCCATGGATGCTGGGAAGGAACAAACTCCAGCCGTGGAAAGAGGTAAGTATAGAGAATGAGCAGCAACTGGAGGAAGAGTCTCTGAGAAAGGACGAAACGGCATTCAGCGCAGATGGGGAAGAGGCATACTGCTTCAACAAGAAAGAGGAACCTGTGACCACTCTTCCTTTGGGAGACCAAGAAAAGGCTCCCTTCCCAAGCTTTTCTACTTGCTAATGGAAAATTAGCTCAGGGTGGGGAATCACCTCACCTTGGGGTGGGGATCATTCATTTTCAAAACAGCAGAGCCATAGGAGATAAAACAAAAGAGTAATCAAATTCTTAAAACACAGTTTTAGAACACTTAGATCACCACCAAAGAGAGGAATGTATTAATACTATCTATTGTCATTGTCATCTGTGAAAACATTTTGGTAACAAACATGAGGTCTGCCACCCAATAAAATACATCATACCTTTGTCATTTTTTACTTCAGTTTCTTTTTTTGGTATTTCTGATATCATAAGCTTAAACGACATACAACAAAAAGGCAACTCAGTCATGGAAATTCACCTGCAAGGCATAACGTACAAACTTGGAAGGGAGGAAGAACAAAAAGGTGGTCTTAAACTCCAAATTATAAATTATAAATCTATAATTTAACAAGAATACCGCCAGATAGGATTATTTAAGGGCAGTATCATGGGCCTGGGAGAACAATGCACACATGGTATGAATCAGCTGTGCTAAACAGACAGCCTTTAAAAATATGAATCAACAGCTTTAAAGAAGATTTGACTTTAAGGGGTGACACCTGTTCTGAACAGAAATCCCTGGGGGTTATTTGGATCAGGGAAGATTCAGGGCTTAGCACGATCTTTAAGGACAACCACAGACAGGAACAAATTCCCAGAGCTCCAACCAGCCCATGTATGTGTTCTTAGGACTAATCCAGAAGTAAACAAGTCTAAAGGGGTGGGCGTTAGAACTGCTCTTCACCAGATGGTTAACTTCCTCCCGCTCTGTTCCGAGCTGGCTCTTGGCCTAACTCATCATCCCCTGATAGTAGGGGAAAAAAATCCACACTGCACCGATGCAAGGCACCGTGCTGGTCCCCTGGAATAGCCCGAGTTTTCTGCGCAACGGAGATTAAGCAGGTTTTAATTTTAGCACATTGAATTATATTACCTGAGCTTCTTGACAGGCTGCTCTCCTTAGCAGGTTGTCACTATCAAAGTAAACAAAGAGAATGAACATCAGCTTTAATAAGCAGGTTACGATCCAAACAAATAAAACTTTTTTTTTCTTTTTTAAATATGCACAACTCTTTCCTATAAAACCCAAGTGAAAGTTTCTTAAAGACCTGTGACACATTATAAGCACATGTGAAAAGTACTTTCTCTGAGTGAAATCCTGTGTTATTTCCATAGAATGGTAGGCAAAAGACCCCCTCCCTCCAAGATGTCTACATCCTCATTCCCAGAACATGAAAATATATTACCTTAGGTGGCAAAGGGGATAAGTTTAGGATCAGGAGATGGGAAGATAATCCTGGATTATGCAGGGGAGCCTAATCTCATCACAAGGGTCCTTAAAAGCACAGAACATTTTCCTGGCTGTGATCAGCAGCAAATGTGACTGTGGAGAAAGGGTCAAAAAGGTGCAAGCTTGCTGGCGCTCAACACGGGACGAGTCAAGGAATGCGGGTACCCTCTAGAAGCTGGAAAAGCAAGGAAATGGCTTCTCCTCTAGAGCCTCCAGAAGGAATGCAGTCCTTGCTGACACCCTGACTTTAGTGCAGTAAGACCTGTGTTGGACTTGTAACCCACAGAACTGTAAGATAATAGACGTGTGTTGTGTGAAATCACGAAGTTTGTGGTAATTTGTTAGCGCAGCAAGAGAAGATTAATGCACATATCCTGCATTTTTCTTATCCAGTGGAAATTACTCAGTTCATTTGCCAGAAATAAATTTGATGTTTAGTTGCTTTTGCTACTGTGTTAGCTCTTATTTTTTATATCTCTGTCAGACATTCAATTACAGCACAAGTGGGAAATTTTGGCATGAGGTGAAACTGTGGCTTGCAAAAATGAAAACATTCTATCAGAACAATGTTCATCTATGTAACATAAAGGTTCCTAAAATGTGTTTATGCCATTTATACTGTAAGAGCACTTTAAATGGCTGATTGCCCACCAGGCGCCAGAATCTTCTCGTTGAGTCAACTCTAACGCGAGTTGCTGGCATTGCTAAGATAGTAACTTCAACCTGGTTAACGACAGTTAAAAACACTCAGCCAATAAACAATTTATAGCAAAGAACTAAAAAGAGAAAAGGTTCTTTCACTTAAATTCTTTCCTAAAAAAAAATCTCTTCCTAGACCTTCCTTCTAACATTGAAGACCTTGAATTTTGCATTTTTACAGTTATTCAAAACCTAATTTTGATAGTTAAGTCTGAACTAAAAGAGATTAAACAACCTTTTGCTTTTTACACAGCTGCTGTCCAAGGCTACACAATAATTTTCCTTCCACAGCCAGGCTGGAGAACAACCTCTAGATGTCAAAAAGCAGTCGCTTTAGCAAGAAAGCACCATGTGTGGGGAAAGAGCAATGCTGCTGTCTGTGGGTATTTACTCAAAGAATACAAAACCACTTAATTTGAAGGGATATGTACACCCCTATGTTTACAGCAGCATTTTCTACAAGAGCCAAATTATGGAAGCAGCCCAAGTGTCCACTGACTGATGAATGGACAAAGATGTGGGGTGTATACACACACACACATCTATACATATATATACACACACATCTATACATACATATACATACACACACAAACATCTATACATATATGCATAAACACATACACACTATACATCTATGCATACATATACATACACACACATCTATACATCTATACATACATATACATACACACACATCTATACATCTATACATACATATACATACACACACAT